TTTTAAGGCTTCATATGAGATTGTTTCCAGATGACTTTGCGCGCAAGATTGACTGATTTCACTCTAGCATGAAGAAGCGAGACATGTTGGAAGTTACTGTTAATAGAAGACAAAAATAGGTGGCCTTCTTTTCGATCAACGATAATTTTAATAGATTGAAACAGTGAAACAAAATTACCTGTAACAAAGAGGCAAAACTTTCTCATATTAATCCTTAGCTGTCATCCCATTAAGAAAAAATGATAAAGAGACGAGAGAAAGGCTTATAAAAAGACGGTTGGCGTCTAGAAATAAAGAGATTCAATGATCTTCAAATGCAATGATGAACGTGCAACACTAAGAATTTTAAAATTTTTTTTTTTTTTTTTTTTTTTTTTAAACAAAAAAAGCGTTAGCGCAAACGGGATTATCAATGAGATATTAACCAATCGCTGGCTCTGAAAACTGCGTATGTGTCAGTGTTGTCGAATGACGCAATTGGCTTTTCCTAATCCAAACTGGAACACGCTATTTAATCCCACACTCCAATCTCTGCGAGGTGAGTCCAATGTAACTAGATTCACATTGACACGTAAACGAATAAACGGCAAAACATTATGGGAAAAAGAAATACTATCTTTGCTAATGGAAGAAAAAGCTGTCCTTGTGTTAAAAACATCAGGCGCAAATTCACTGCGGGAAAGCTACGAGTGAGACTTGTTGAGTAAACCGAACTTTGAAATTATCCAACCAAAGGTAATTTTAAATATACCGGGCATTTAGATGACCCGAACATTTTATCAATGCGGAAAAAAGTACAATTTTCTTTTTGATTAACTATTCCGCAACATCTTACGTTAGACACTATCACTACAGAAACTCTTGCAATGGACCAATATAAAATGGAGCGAATGATTCGCTCGGCATCACCTTACGTGACAGCAAGAGCAACATCTTGGGATTGGACAGAAAGGATATAATCGAGACTATCAAGAAGGACAAATACAGATAGACTGGATACGTTTCTTGTTTCACAGATAACAGGTGGACTCTTAGAGCGGGCACCAAAGCAGTGGAAAAGATCTAGAGAGTGGTCAAAGCTAAAATGGCGCGATGATCTGACCCGATTCCACGGCCCCCACATGACCAGAGATAGGAAGTGGTGGTGGTCAACTAGAGAGGAGTTTCTTCAACAAGAGTGAGAAGTCTTTGGATATATTTGATTTTTAACCAACCAGAAGAAAACAACTTTTCGCAAAAGGATTTCAATGCAAACTGAAATTAGTGCATTGTATGAGTAAAATTAAAAATAAAAACGAAAAGCATGTGTCTTTAGATCAGTCATAGGCAAACTGCGGCCCACGGGCCACATGCCGCTCGATTGTCTTTCTGAATGGCATGATTAATTTCGTCAGAAAGATAACGTTTATTAAAATGTTGTTTGTTTCTTCTCGTTCCCACTTGTTCACTCACACACTCTCTCATACTTAACCACATACATAAACAATGATTCTTGAATCTTGTAATGTCAGCATTTTAAACCATTGGAGATTTTACGTGTAAACATTTGTCTATATCTCTGAGATGAGGTATTATGATTACTTACATTATTTACATTATTCGGACTGTTATCCTCAAACTTCATTGCCATATTCACAACGGTTCGGCCGTTGTGCGCTCCGGCCTTATTCAGGTGATTGGAAGTTCGACTCGAACCTTTTATTTCGCCCACAGGGGTAGATTATCCTAGTTCCACGTGCCATGCCTCTTCCGGGCGTCTCAGTTATTTCCTTTTTAACTCAACTCTCCAAGTTTTTGGTTCACCACTGCTGGTATTGAACTCACAACTCTTTGAGTCTAGTCACTGGATCTAACCAACAGCTTTATCCACTGGGCCATTTCGAAAAATGTTGCCCATGCCTGGTTTAGATGATAAATTTTTACCAAGTATAACATGAAGCTGATCAGTTAACACGTCCGCTGCTGTTTTTACTGAAAACTTACATTACTTGCTGTCGACGCATATATATATATATATATATATATATATATATATATATATATATATCTGTGTGTGCGTGTGTGTTTGTGTTCAAGATACCGTGAAATGATGGTCTCTATCTTTTGTTCTATAACTAACTAGTGCTTAATGTTATTTTAAAACTATCGTAGACATGTATGTCTACAATATGTTTTGTGATGAATTTTTTGAGAGATCACTGTTTATCGCAGTCGCCTGATATGCTGAAGTAATATTTTTTGTAATATTTGAACACGGATCCTTCGACGTGGTGTAATGGTTAACAAGCTTGTCTCGCTTGATCAATTACGACTGAATAGTGAGTATGATTTTCATTAGGTGCTCCAAACGTTCGGTCTTGTACTAAGCTAGGCTTAGAAAATCACTTGTGCAGTTCGACGAGATGTAATGGCTAACAGGCTTGTCTCTCTAGATCAATTATGACTGTGTAGTGAGTTTGATCCTCACTAGGTGCTGCAAACGTTCGATCATGTGCTACATCTAAGCTTGGTTTAGAAAATCATTTGTGCACTTCGACGTGGTGCAATGTTTAGAAAGCTTATTTCTTGAGATCAATTACGCCTGATTAGTGAGTTCGATATTCATTGGATACTCCATACTTTCGACCTTGTGCCACATCTACGCTACGCTTAGGAAATCTCTATACGTATTTGAACATATTCGTTATTTTATTCATATATCAAGTTACTCAGTGTTTCCCATGTCTCGCCGGATATTTCATACATTACTCGAAATCATTCAACCAAGAAATAAAACCTTCATTTTTTAAATTTTTTTTATCAGTTTTGCCATTATTTTTTTTTCTATAGCTATTGATGGTTAACAGTGAAGAGACGGCTTTCCTTATGGATTATGCATGTGAAGAAGGTGGTGTAATGGTTAGCTATCTTGTCTCGCTAGAACAATTACGACTGAGTAGTGAGTACAATCCTCATCTGGTGTCCCCTACTTTAGGCCTTGTGCCACATCTTAGCTACGCTTGGAAAAATCACTATATGCATGTGAAGAAGGTTGTAGAATGTATAGGATGTAACGTTATTTTAGCAAAAGCAACACAAGGAATAAAATTTAATAATCGAAACAACTTTTGGAATGATACGGACTCCTCTCAAAATTTACAATCTGTTGTAATTTGTCATGTTTTATAAGTGTTGCATATTGTCCAGAGTTGCAAAGCAAAAGATGAAAGGAAGAATAAAGAAAATATTAGTGAGAAGGAAAGTAAAATGATGAACAGAAAAAAGAAAATAAAAAAGAAGTAAAAAGGGAGGTGAGAAGAAAAGAGTAAAAGAAAAATAGACAGAGAAAAAAGAAGGAAGGAGAAAAAGAAGCAAGTGTAATTTGAAGAATCTAATATGAAAAACTGAAAACTTGAATTTGACATTTCTCAAATAAATCGTTGAAAAAACATTTTAAAATTAAATTGAAGGATAGAAAGAGAAAGGAAGGAGAAGGAAATAGTAAGAGAAAGGAACTGAAAGAGAAGGAAATAGAAAGATAAAGCAACGGAAAGAGAAGGAAACGGAAAGAGAAGGAAATAGAAAGATAAAGAAACGGAAAGAGAAAGAAATAGAAAGAGAAGGAGATAGAAAGAGAATGAAATGGAAAGAGAAGGAAATAGAAAGGGAAAGGAAATATAAAGAGAAGGAAATACAAAGATAAAGAAACAGAAAGAGAAGGAAATGGAAAGAGAAAGAAATGGAAAGAGAAGGAAATGGAAAGATAAAGAAACGGAAAGAGAAGGAAACGGAAAGAGAAGGAAACGGAAAGAGAAGGAAACGGAAAGAGAAGGAAATAGAAAGATAAAGAAACGGAAAGAGAAGGAAACGGAAAGAGAAGGAAATAGAAAGATAAAGAAACAGAAAGAGAAGGAAATAGAAAGAGAAGGAAATAGAAAGATAAAGAAACGGAAAGAGAAAGAAATAGAAAGATAAAGAAACGGAAAGAGAAGGAAATAGAAAGATAAAGAAACGGAAAGAGAGTGAAATAGAAAGAGAAGGAAATGGAAAGAGAAGGAAACGGAAAGAGAAGGAAATGAAAAGAGAAGGAAATAGAAAGAGAAAGGAACTGAAACAGAAGGAAACGGAAAGAGAAGGAAATAGAAAGAGAAGGAAATAGAAAGATAAAGAAACGGAAAGAGAAGGAAATGGAAAGAGAATTAAACGGAAAGAGAAGGAAATAGAAAGATAAAGAAACGGAAAGAGAAGGAAATGGAAAGAGAAGGAAACGGAAAGTGAAGGAAATAGAAAGAGAAGGAAATGGAAATATAAAGAAACGGAAAGAGAAGGAAATGGAAAGATAAAGATACGGAAAGAGAAGGAAATAGAAAGAGAAGGAAATAGAAAGATAAAGAAACGGAAAGAGAAGGAAATGGAAAGAGAAGGAAACGGAAAGAGAAGGAAATGGAAAGAGAAGGAAATGGAAAGAGCAAGAAACGGAAAGAGAAGGAAACGGAATGAGAAGGAAATAGAAACAGAAGGAAATGGAAAGAGAAGGAAATGGAAAGAGAAGGAAATGGAAAGAGAAGGAAATATAAAGATAAAGAAACGGAAAGATAAAGAAATGGAAAGAGAAGGAAACAGAAAGAGAAGAAAAAGGATAATTAAAGAGCAAAGCAAAATTTCACACGGTCACTCCCACTCAGAACACCCACCACTACAAAAAATAAATAAATAAAATATGGCCATTTACACAAACTTTCCTTCCTTAAGGGTCATGCTTAATACACGCTTGGGTGATCATGCCTTTTTTTCGATTTATGATTGACTTGGCAGAAAAATTCCCGTAGTAGGCGACCGTTACTTTCAGTGGTAAGCTGGTTGCCAACGTAGACTATAAGACCCAGTCTGTTTTGCTATTTAACCCATAACCGGGGAAAATAAATAAATTTATACTTTCCCAAGGGTATTTGCACATAAGTGAATGTAACGGCTCTCCGATTCCTCATTGCCGAGCCGTTATCGCCCCCATCATATCCAAGATTACAACAGCTGGTATTCCCAAGCGGTCACCCATGTAGGTACTGACTAGGCTTGACGGTGCTTAACTTAGACGATCGGACAAGAACCGGTGTTTCAACGTGATATATTTTTTGGAGAACATGTTCAAATTGATGATGTTCTCTGAAATAAACACCAGCAAAGAATAGAAAAAGCAACGCATAAACACAACCAGAGAATGGTATATTCCAGCTGAGGTAGTTTGTTTTCACGTCGTATTAATGTTTTTAGGGAAGGCATGAATCTACTTATCCCTATCAGTTAGGTCAGGGAATAATCCCAGCTGGAGGGACCATGTAACTCACTACAATCTGTCGCATTTGACTTATAAGAGTAATGGGCACCGCAAAGCGATCCTGAGGAATGCTATGAAAAGACCAACAATGGCACTTGGACAATCTACGAGGCCAGACGATATTTTGATTTTGTATATATAATTAACTATTTAGTGTACGAAAAGAAAGGGATTGGAAACATTTCTGTGTAAAGAAATACAGATTTATTTGAGGGCTATTTCTACGACACTCCTACAGTTGTTTTTGAATCGGAAAAGATATTTTTCTCATGAGGATTCTCACCACTACATTGTTGGTCTAGCGGTTAAGATTTCCAACAACCAAAGGAAAAACAATAAGAAATGTGCAATCGATAATAAAATGCAGGCAATAATAAAAAAAAAGAAAAAAAAAAGAGAAGGAAACCTACTTGGCCTTGGGGCACTGGCTGTTTCTTACGGAAGAACCTCTGTTGCTTCACCCTGATCGAGGATGATGGGTACAGCTGCCGTTTGTCTGGCTGTTACGCTTCTTTCTGGTTGGCAGACCCAGGTACCCACCTTTTATTTACCAACAACAATAACAAAACAATACCAGTTGTGTGGAGGGGAAGTGCCTATCTACCATAGTTAGATTGGTACAAGGGCATAGAAGTAGAGAACTCAGAAAGTTGAACACTATTCGAGAAAATTGGTCAATTGTTTGTAGGTATTTAAATCAGCCCACACCGAGTAGATCATTTTTTTCTTTATCTTCTCTACTAGCTCGTATACCGATTGTGATATTATTGCCTTTGAGAAAATTAGTGATATATGATATATATATATATATATATATATATATATATATACAGATAGAGAGAGAGAGAGGGGGGGGTATGGACATATTGAGTACATCCATACATATAACGGGTTTTGCATTTTATGCTGAGAGCCAATTCTTTTTTCATTGCTGCCCATACACCCCTACACTATACATGAGAAAGAGAGACGATATGCTGAAAAATTTTCGGCCCAAACCCTCTTACAAAATCTGAATATTTTGATGAAAATGCCTTCTTGGTCGAACCGAAAATTTTTCGGTATCTGCTGACGATATATATATATATATATATATATATATATATATATATATATATATATATATATATATATATATATATATATATATATATTTTCAACCGTTAATTTTTAGTAGATATCCGTACTTTGGGTAGACGTTGTTTTTTTGTATTTTTTTGTTTTTTTTATAAACAGTGTTTATTTCGTCTACCGACCAACGCAGACAAGAAAACTTAATAAAGAAAATATGCTCTCCGGTAGGATTCGATCCTGCGTCCCACTTTGCAAGGGAAGTCGCCAACTAATCCGGCATCTTTTCTCAGCTACGGAGACATTCACAATCAAATAATGTTCTATTTGCTTTTGCAACACATTTACTCGTTTAGATCTTTCTCGGGACACATATCTGCTCAGTTTTGTATCCGGGGCATAAACAAAGCAATTTCTAAAGAATTAATGGATTTTATTTTTAATCACACACACACACACATATATATATATATATATATATATATATATATATATATATATATATATATATATATATATATATATATGACAGAGAGTGAGAGAGAGGAGTGAGAGAGATGTATGTATGGTTGTATCAGCAACCAACAGACCATTTTCAATAGCAGCACCCAAATCTTTTGCAATGGCTCATAGATGAGTAGAAAGTGCTCGGAACGAATAATCATTTGGACAATTTCTACACACATGAAGTCCAAAGTAGAAAACTCTTGTTCGTACCCAAGAGAAACAAAACATAAGTACCTTGTTAGTCAGTTTTAATGAAACATACATTACAGGGGGATTTCTACGCAAATACACAAATTGTGTGCTTGAGGATAAGAGAGAAAAAGGGGAAAGAGTTACAGCTTAGGTATTAAGAGCATTTGAATATAAGTTTTGCTTAGGTCTCTTCTGTTTCTGTATGTATCCGTGTTTCATACTTATATATTGAGAATACAACACTACAATATCTACGCCATATTTTATATCAGGTAATTTACTAACCCTATCCGTCCTTTGGTTTTGTGCGTGTCCTAAGCTTAGCTTAGTAAATATCTATGGTACACGTTTACACATTGGTGAACCTGGCTGATAGCAATCTCTCCCTCAAACCATATGAAGTGAAAAATGCTAATATTCGTCAAATGTCTTATGCGACCCCATCTTCTGAGCAAAACTAGTAGGCCTACTGTAGTCAAATATTGCAGTACTGGGCATCATACTGGACATATTTTACAGCAACTCCATTCTTTTTTTTTATACAAATCTACCACAACATGGTGAGAAAAACCACTTACCATAAAATGATGCAAAGATCTGTTTGTACCTGGCAACGGTAGTTCCTTTACCCTGGGCCTGTCTCCTACATAGCCTAAATTTATTCCCTGTTGTATAGTGCAACCGGTCACCAAAAATGCACGATTTTTAACCTCTTCAAAAAAATTATCTGTGCATAGTGCGACCCTCTGTTTTTTTTTCGTAAAAACACCAAAAACTCGTGTTATACTCGAGTGTATACGGTAATTCTCAAAATATTGTTACATATTTAATATATGTTAATATACTAATTGTAAAAAAAAAAAATATATAAGTCACATCGAATGACAAAAAGGAAAACTGTTAAGTGACGCGTTTTGTTCTTAGAAAGAACTTCTTCAGACTAATTATTTTATCGATGGAATCGGTCTTATATGTATTTATTATTTACCATTTTATAAAGAAATAAATAATAATTTTTTTAAAAGAAAAATGTCCGTGAATAACAAAATTTAAATAAACACATAACGGCGAGTTACTGTAATTATAAATTATGAAAAAAAAAAAAAAAAAAAAAAATTCGGGCATTTTCTCTCGCCACATAAATTCACTAAAATAGGTTGAGAGCATCCATTCCTTTTACATATTTTGATAATTTCGTAATTTTTAAAATAATTTTTTGAATAAAAAGATTTTTTTTCAAATTTATTTCTTTATGAAAAGGGTAAATAATAAATTTTTATAAAAAGTAAATAATAAATATTGCATTGTATTTGGTGTATAAAACAGTAATATTGACGGTGTCAAGGAAATAACCGTCCTTTTGACACAGTTTTTTTTTGCAGGCACAAAGGCTAAACTTTGCCCAGATTTGTATATCATATCGTTCAAACAGTCACGTGAAAGCCTAATAATTGAAAGGTCATAAAATATGCAGTCATTTTTTATGACATGGTCTGAGCTAATGACAGATACGCAAATTATTTCTTAATTTTTATACAAATTTTTGCGTTAAGTCTTGTCTATGAGTACCTTAAAAGATAAGACTGACTGGTCTCTGCCAAGACTGACAATGGGTGTAACAGCTTTAACCATTATTACTACGAATACAAAATAAACTTCCTTTACTTGGTAGTTAGGCATAACGCAATTTTCCTACTCGTTTCTTACTCCCTTTGTCCTTGTGTCAGACTAAACTAAGTTTTATATTGTTTTTTTCAGTTGTCAAAATAATGGGGAAGCTGTCGTAACCTGATAGCTAAACAAGCTAGTCTTATAAACCAGTTATTTGTGAGCATTGTGATTTAGGTCTTCACTGTGTACCCTACGCTTGTGGATTTGGGTCGTACTAACTTAAGCTTAAAAGTATACCTGTCTGCAAAGATGACTAGCTAATCAGATATTTTTGTGTTTGTTCAACACCTGTAGTTTAAACTACAACCATCTTGAGCGGACCTTAGTTTCTGGGAAAGAGCACATAATCTAGAGTGATCAACAGTTTCAACACTAAGAGTGTTATACAAAGAGAACATATTACTAAAATAATTGTCTTAGATATTTTTCTCTATAATGTAGTTACAAGATCACTAGAGACCTTGCTAGTTTGAGAGTGCTCGCATTAGAAATGCTATGTCTTTCTTTTTTGCTAGGACACCTCGGACTTTGAGGCAGAATTTTAGATGAAACTAACAAATTAAAAAAAAAATCCTATCTATATATAATATGCGAATGTGTGTAAGCCTAAGATGAGAGAGAAGGTATGTTTGCAATGAGAGAAATGAAAGAAAGAAAAAGAAAACAGGCGAAGGAAAAAGATTTTTTAAAAAATCAAAAGAAAAAAAAAGAAGGAATAAAACACGAACACTGAACTTTTATTTAATGTTGTGTGTTGCGATGTCCTCTTGGAAATTGTATCCACCCTTTCTGTTCGTTGTCCAAATATTGCCTGCGGGCGCGGGACTAGGGGGAAAAAGGAGGAGGGTGAAAACCACACTAGTCCGGGATAAGAGTTTAAGCCGAGGACAACCCAGACCAACCGGCCCAGGAAGGGAAGGAGCAAAAAAGAACTTACCTACTTATTTACTGTATGTCGGTACGACATTCTATTTCGTCCATTACTAACCAACTTTCTATCTAGCGAACATAACCAATTTCCTTAAACGCATGGCTTAGATAGTTAAAAATTATTGACATCCTTTAGTCATGACATATTCAACTCGCCATAGTAAGTAAGGCCTTTCTTCTATAGTGAATCCTGTACTAAATACCAGGTGTTCCATATTTGTGACCTTTTACCAGATATAATTAAACAAATACGTCGTATAGACAGGAAAATAGCCCCCCTCCCGCCCTCAAAGGATTTTGATAATTTCATGTATCAAATTTAGAATAAATGGTGGATTTTTAAAATATTTTTTTAACAGATATACTACAGTATATCTGTTTTGTTTTGCTTGATTGCATAGCTGTACAAAATAT